AGCTACTCAGGAGGCTGAGGCAAGAGAATTGCCTAAGCCCAGGAGTTGGAGGTTGCTGTGAGCTGTGTGATGCCATGGCACTCTACCGAGGGCGAGAAAGTGAGACTCTGTCTCTACAAAAAAAAAAAAAAAAAAAAAATTAGAGAAACAGATGAAAGTTAGGAAATAGTATTTCCTACTTGTTTATTAAAAGGTTTCCAGTTCTTGGTAGCGCCTGTGGCTCAGTGAGTAGGGCACCGGACCCATTGAGGGTGGTGGGTTCAAACCCAGCCCCAGCCAAACTGCAACAACAAAAAATAGCTGGGCGTTGTGGCAGGCGCCTGGAATCCCAACCAGCTACTCAGGAGGCTGAGGCAAGAGAATCACCTAAGCCCAAGAGCTGGAGGTTGCTGTGATCTGTGACACCATAGCACTCTAACGAGGGTGACAAAGTAAGACTGTCTCTTAAAAAAAAAGGTTGCCAGTTCAGATAGTAAATGTAACATAACAATGCTTTATTAAATTTATTATCTATCTCTGCATAAACCTAAACACATATACAGAAGGTGCCCGCAAAATGTACACGTTTTAATAAAGGAAAAAATTGCATTAAAATTATAATACTCAACGTATACTGATAACGAAAGATGAACACGTCACATTGAACACCTCTTGTAATTGCAGAAGTCAAACGTGACGTATTATAAATTTAATAGTTTTTTCCTTTCCTAAAGTGCATGTACATTTTTTGAGCACACTCTGTGTATACCTTTCCTCTCTAGGCTTAACCTCCTACAACACAATGTTGCTTCCTTTTCACATACCACTCATTACTCACTGCTGCAGCACTCTGAACACAGCCATTCTCCTTCTTTACCTGAACAAAGAGAACCCATGATGGCTTACCTTTGTTAGCAAACTATTCACATCCTGCACAGACCTGCTAAAGACGCCCTTGGCTTTCCTTGATTTAGGTGCCTTTGTGTTTTTTGTTTTTGATCTTGAATTGTGTTTATAGATGGTTTATTCATAAAATCTAAAAATTTCCAAGGCGGCTATACTACCAGAGATTCAAATTTACTCTTAAAATATAAGCCTCTAGGCTCGGCGCCTATAGCTCAA